TTAGGATAGAATGATTTACTTCATCAGAATAGTGGTAGCTCATATTCGCTAAACTTCGAACTCACTCAACGACAATAAATCACACAAAAAAATTGTAAATGCAAGAAGAACAGTAGGAGATTAAAAAAAATTATGTTTGAAAAATGAGAGGAAGCTCCTCTATTTATAGTCAACAAAGGGTAGTATAAACAAGTGTTTTTTTGTGTCTTTTCTGAAAAGTCATGACCTTTCCGAGAAGTCACAACCCTTTGGAAAAGTCACAATATATTGAAAAAGTCACAACTCTTTGGAAAAGTCACAACTCACCGAAAAATTACAACCCTTTGAAAAAAGTCAAAACATATAAAAAATATCACAACTCATCGAAAAAGTGACCTTCCGAGAAGTCACAACCCTTTGGAAAAGTCACAACTTATCGGAAAAGTCAACTCTTTTGAAGAGTCACAACTCATCGAAAAATTACAACCCTTTGAAATAAGTCACAGCTTATAGGAAAAGTCACAGCTTATAGGAAAAGTCACAACTCATCAAAAAAGTCACAACCTAAGTTAGGGATATTACAATAATTTAACATTCAAGTTAGGAGTTCATGCTTTTAAGGTAATATAGATAGATATGATATGATTAGAAAATTTCATGTAGGAGATATTTGTCTCGAGTTCACATTTCTACTTCATTGAATTATCAGTGTTTGGATTGAAATCTCCCTAGTTTGACTTCTTCGTCTCTATCATTTTGACAAGTCTCATACAGAACAAGATGTAAAACGGCACAATATACGCGTAAAATGTTAATCCATCACTATCACGGAAATTTGTTTGAAGTTATATCCCGTTTATGAACACACTACTGGTTTTGCAGAAAAAAAACTTTTTAGTGTGTTTTCCTCTTTTAAGCCAACCAAACATGGGAAAATTGGAAAACATTTTCCATAAAATGTTTTCCTCCATACCAAACACACCCTTAATGTGAAAAGTGTGGTGTAAAATTATGGAATATACCTAACAAGTTTGAAAACAATACAACAGACAACTAAGTTTCTCTCTTTGAAAATTATTGTGGAAAAAACAGAATAAGAGATGTTGATGGAGAGTTGGACAAAGTTCACTTAAAGCTGGAGTTCATATATCTATAAAATATATATAGATTATTTTAGAACAGAACATTTTGTTATATGATGAAAACAAAAAAATGTGGCCTCTCTTTTTCATTTATTCACTTTTCTGTTGTGTATTTCTAAGTTTTTGTTTTTCTTCTTCCTTTGATCATCATATTTGCTCTCCTACTGAAGCTTCTGCTTTGCTTCAATTTAAACAATCCTTTGATACATTGAATTTTCCTCATGTGATACGTCCAAAAACAATTTCATGGAATGAGAGTAAAGAATGCTGCACTTGGGACGAGGTCACTTGTGACATGTTAACTGGTCATGTTATCGGGCTGGACCTTAGTTACAGTCTGCTTAATGGAGCTATTTATTCCAACAGCAGCCTCATCCAACTTCATCATCTCCAAACACTAAACCTTGCTAAGAATTACTTTTATCCTTCTTCCATTCCAAATAACGTTAGCAGGTTGAGGAATTTGAGGCATCTAAATCTTTCTGATGCTTACTTTCAAGGGAAAATCCCAACATAAATCTCATACCTTTCCAATTTGGTTTCACTTGATCTTTCTGTTCCTTCTTATGTGAATGGATTACAATTTGATCAAAAAATCATTTGAAGCAGTGCTTCAGAACTTGATAAATCTGGAGGTACTTTCTCTCTTTGGTGTCAACGTCTCATCTCCTATTGTTACACTAATTAGCTAATTAGGCTTTGTATTGGCCATGTCAGCAGATTCTATTATAACTGACAGTTAATTAGTTAATTATACAATTACTGTTCACTATTGTTCCATTGAATTACTGCTCATAGAGTTGGTTAGTCGATCAGCAAGTTAGTTAAGAATTAGGCTGAATAAGTCACTACTACAGTTGTATACAAACACATCTCATATATACACTTCAGATCATCAACATACAGATCATTGTTCTCTTCTCTGAATCTATCTTCTTCTTTAATTCTACTCTTCTCTTCTAATTGTTGTTGAGCTGTTCTTCAGCAGTTCATCTCAATCCTCGAATCTTCAGTGATTCTTGCAATTGAGCTAACACCGATTGTCGATCTTAAGGTAACCAATTTGGAAGGTGTTCTCACGGAGAGCTCTTTCCTTCTGCCAAAATTGGAAACACTCTATTTGAGTAATAACTATCTTCTCAAAGGAGTTTTACCAAAGATCCACTCGAACAGCACTCTGTTGGAGTTGGATATTTCTTACACAGGAATCTCCAGTGAGCTACCTAATTCAATTGGCACCTTGATTTCCTTGACTCGCTTGTACCTCTATGGATGTCAATTCTTTGGTCGCATTCCTGATTCCATTGGCAATCTTACACAAATTAGGTATTTGAATTTTGGTTATATTCCTTCCACAATCTCTAAATTGAAGCACCTCACAGTTTTAGCCCTTTCATCTAACTCCTTTGGAGGTAAAATTCCTAATTTTTTCTCTAACCTTCGAAAACTACGTTATTTAAGTCTTTCTAATTGTAGCTTCATCGATCTGTTTCCTTCTCCACTTTTAAGCTTGACTCAACTTGAAACCTTAGACTTGTCGAGTAGTTCCCTATCTGGACCACTTCCTAGCAATGCAAGCATGCTTCAAAAGTTAACTGAGCTGGATTTGTCTTACAACTTATTGAATGGTACCATACTATCTTAGGTATTTACCCTACCTTTGTTATCTTCAGTGTCACTCCATCATAACCGGTTAAGTGGTTCTTTTCCTCAATCACCTGTGAATCTAGCAAACCTTTCTACCCTTGAACTTTCATCAAATAACATCACCTTCGATGCGGGAATACAAATCACTTTACCTAGCCTAGAAGTTTTGCAGTTATCATCTTGTGAACTGAAGGATTTTCCAGACTTCTTGAGAAATGTAATGACACTTATGATCTTAGATATTGCTAACAATAAGATTCGTGGTCAAATCCCTAACTGGTTTAGAGGCATGAGGTGGGACTCCTTGTTGCACCTAAATCTTTCACATAACTCATTAACAGGGCACCTACAACAATTTCATTATTATAGTCTAGAGTATATTGATCTTAAACTTAACTTCCTTCATGGGCCACTACCTTCATCCATTCGTAACATGAGCAGTCTTAGCCTTTTGGATTTGTCAAACAACTACTTTAGTGACACGGTTCCACATTTCTTGGGCAGAGCAATTCATTGAGAACCATTGTCTTGAATGGTAATTTTTTTGAAGGAATTGTCCCGATGTCGTTGCTAAAGTGTGATGGTCTAGAAGTCCTTGATGTGGGGAGCAACGCTATAAATGACACATTTCCAGCTTGGCTCGGAACTCTTCAAGAGCTGCAGGTACTTTTATTAAAGTCCAACAAGTTTCATATGTCAGAGACAAATGTGAGATCAAATATATGCAACCAGAGTCTTACAACGGATTAAGTAACGTAATGTATGAGGTTTCAGTGAGGTTGGTGATCAAAAGCCACGAAATTCAGCTAGAAAAAATCACCACAATTATGACAACCATAGATCTCTCAAGCAACCATTTTGAAGGTGTGATTCCGAAAACACTAAATGATCTCATCTCACTTTGGCTACTCAATTTATCTCATAACAATCTCAAAGGAGATATTCCAATGGAATTGGAGAAATGGGATACACTTGAAGCTTTAGATCTCTCTTGGAATCGGCTCACTTGAAAGATTCCACAGGAATTGACAACATTGAACTTTCTGGAGATCTTAAACCTATCTCAAAATCTCCTTGTTGGATGCATTACTCAAGGTTCACAATTCAACACATTTGAAAATGACTTGTATGGTTGCAACCTTGATTTATGTGGTCCTCCTTTGTCAAAGCAATGTGGAACAAGTGATCGCCCGCATGTTCCTCAATCACTGGAGGAAGAAGCAGATGAAGATGAATCATATTTCTTAAGTGGATTTACATGGGAATCAGTAGTCATAGGCTACAGTTTTGGACTAGTTGTTGGAACTATCATATGGAGCCTCATGTTTAAATATCGTAAGCCAAAATGGTTTGTGGAATTTTTTGACGGCATCATGCCCCCATAAAAGGAGAAGGCCAAAGAAGAGAAGGTTGAGACGACAAACATAATGGAAGATTGAAAGATCAAACTTTTCTGTTTCTATTTTTGGCTTTGTAATTTTGTGTTTTTGTTGTTTGTATATTCTTGATAGAAACTTAATTGTATGTATTATTTTTAGCATTAATGGTTGTTCAAGTTCAGTTGTTTCTTTTCAATTTTCTGTTGTTAAGTTGTTTAATTTCTCAAAGTTGTTTAACTGCACCAACTATGGAAAAGATAAATGTGCATCTTGTCGGAGGATTCAAGATTTTTTGTTTATGGATTCTAAACCATAACTCTTCTTGTGTACTGAGTTCTGGATAAATATTTATAAATATTAGGTGAATTTCTCGCTAGGACAATGCTATTATTTTTTGCCGAACTCATAACTTATATTCTGGTGTTGGTTATGGTTTCAACATACTCAACACATTCACCATAGCAGTAAATTGAGAGGTCTTCTATTTTAAACCTACCTTTCACGCTAGAGGGTAAAACTGACCAAGGTCATAGATGACCCTATACAATATTGAGTTCCGTGTTCGTATGTTTACTTTAAATATTTCGAACCCCTTGGTGAAAATCATGGCTCTACCACGGGCATGACAAGGTCACAGTCATGAAGTTCATTAGGCACAAAATGTCTTCTTAATTATGAACCTAATCTAATAAATGTATTATAATATATTATGGAACCAAGGATAAAGATCTTTCCAAACTCTCAAAAGTCAAAGAAAGTAGTACAAGTTAAAGCTTAATTACAAAATACTCAAACTTTTTGAAAATTGTGTTTCCTTCAAATACATTATGAAAGGTCCCTCAAGTTGAATGCCTGATTGGTCAATCAATTTGTAATGCCCAGTATTCTAAGTGAACTAGTTTTATTTATATGACGCTTATAAATTGTCTTGTGGTATAGTTATAGACTCGGTTTCCTATGCGACTAAGTGATCTAAAAAAATTTGAACTCGAGACAGTAAAAGGTGGTATTTGATGTAAAAGTCAAAGTTGTCAAATGTGTATTAGTATTACGGTCTTGTAAAGAAACTAAGATTGGGAAAATGGTGCAAAATAAGTAAGGTTCTTGCTTGACTACACTATGCTAGTAGGTTACAAGTAGGTGATGCACCTACTTAGAATTAGTGGACTGCATTTTAAGTGAAAAGGGAAAGTAGGTGATGTAACTACTTAGAATAAGTGGACTGCATTTTAAGTGAAAAGAACAAGTAGGTGATGCACCTACTTAGAATAAGTGGACTGCATTTTAAGTGAAAAGGGAAAGGAAGTAATGCACCTACTTAAAAACTTGTGGCAGAACTTGAGGAGGTTATGCACCTGCTTGCTTAAAGTAAATGACCATATTATTTCTCCAATTTACTAAGTGAAAACGTCAAGAAGGTACCTGTAAAGCACTCAAGCTCATCACATCTCCTTCATCACTTATTCTCCAGAAAATTACTCCCAAGGAAAGCCATAGAAGCTCCAAGAGTTATGGTCTACAGCTTCACCATTCAAATCCGAAGGAAACATGTGTTTTTAAAGTACAAGTTGGTAAAACATCTCCCATCTTAAGGAATTCAAGTGATAATCTGATTTAACATCAAGGTAAGGGGGAGAGGACAACCTAAACCTTGAAGAATCCAAGTCTTAACAAGTGAGGTTTTTGTCTAGCAAGGTAAGCTATGTAATTTTTCATCCCTCTCTTGTTCTTGAATTGTTTATGAAAGTTTTTATGTGTTAATAAACTTAGGAGTGTTTCCTCTATATGGTGTGAGCTTGGTTAATGTTCAGGAAGGATGTGTTTGTTGGGACAGCCATGGAGTGGAGTCCCCTTAAATTTTGATTGTGAGCTCATTTGGAGCTTCTTAAATGTAATGTTAGTGGGAACTAATGGGATGTTGGTGGGAAACCGTGATCTATATTGCTACGTCCACATTGTGATGCAAAGGGACTGTTTTGTGTATCGTAAAATAAGGGTGTGTGGCTGGATATGTGCAGAGAAGTCATGGGAAGTGGTTAGAGGATACAACATTGAAAGTGTAGTGATACACCACTTAATTGATTGTTGCGTGAGCTTACTTTATGACATCCCTTTGTATACTATTTTCCAAACGTTGTGAAAACCGAGGAGTTTCGGAGGACCTTATAAGAAGGTTGTATACAATATGAAAAAATTAGAGGAGAATGGGTGGAAGAACACGCTTGGTAGGATCAATTATAGATTTACTGCCAATTACTATTTAGGTCTGATCAAGTAGCCCAAACTTGTTGATCATCTACTAATGCTAGTTTTATTATTTACTCCATTGTAGATAAATAATATGAAAGAAAGACGGTTAACTCAATGTAATATCCAAAGTTGTGCAGCAAGGCATGTAAGGCTATTCAATTTCCTATTTCTTTGGCATGAATCCAACACTTGTGTTACAACATAAGTTTTCTAAGTACCCTTGGTAGTGACTGGTCCATAGTGGCAGTATAAGATCACCAATATAGCTATTTATCTCTTCCTACTTTCTAGAGTGTTAAAGTGAGTACTCTAATATGAGTTCATTACTAGATGTACGTTCTTACTCTACCAAGTATTAGCATGCAAGGCTTAAACCTGTTTCATCGTCAAAGTGCTAACCCTTGGCACGTATTCCTCTTATATAAATCAACATGATTCTAGATTACACATGGAACATATGGTTATATGTTGGATATACAATAAGCCCATATGTTACGAACTTGCTTCAATGGTCTGCTCCATTGGATAAGTCATATTTTTCCATTTTCATATGTTTCCTTTATTGGTTATCACTCCCATTGTGTTAGACTAAAATGTTACCTCACAAGATCCCTACTTGCTCTATTGTACATTTTATATGTACTTACTTAGAATATGTATCCGTCCCTAAGTTGAATCTGACCACGTGTTTCCTTGGTTCCACGACCTTGTATTTGAAATTAATTAGTAAGTATTTGGCTATCATATAGAGTTCATATCTCTTGGCTGAATGTTAAATGTTTGATTTGTGGTTCAATTTGAGATGTAAAAAATGTTTATTGAGACATCAGCTCCTAAGTATTACGTTGGTGTCACAATTTCTTCCCATGTCATTGTTATTATCTTAAGTCCATATTCATATGTCTCCTACTACGTTTTACTGTCACAAAACTAAATAACGTTGTGACCACCAAAACAACAATCTCAAAGAAGTTGTGAACATCAAAAGAACAATGTCAAAGATTAAAGAGACAAGGTAAAAGGAATCTATATAATTATGGGTGGCAGCTCAAGGGTTAAAATATCTAGCATGGGCTGATCCTAAATCTAGTACTTAAGGGTGGCATCTCAGGGGTTGTAATACCTAGCATAGGCCGATACTAATCTATATTATTATGGGTGGCAGCCCAGGGGCTAAAACCCTAGCATAGGTCGATCCCGATTTGTATATTTATGAGGACCGTATCCCAGGGGTTAAAATTCCTAGCATGGGTCATCCTCTTCTACCATTGATCAGCTGGTCATTTGTATCATATGCCTTATAAAGATTATAAAGCACAGAAAAGTAAATAAAATAGTGTAACTAACACGATTCCACAAGTATAATCAAATGTGGTCTCTAATCCTTATCTATTTGTATTTGGTTTCACTTGATCCCACATTTTACATATGGTTGTATTATGCCTTACATATTCAGTACATTCTTTCGTACTAACGTCCCTTAGTGGGGACGTTGCATTTCATGTTGCAGGTACATGTACTCAACTAGTAGATCTCCCCAATAAAAGCACATGATACTCAGCGATTGTTGGTGAGCTCCACGTTGACTCGGGGTATTGCCGAGTCTTTACTATGTGTACTTTGATAGTTGTACCATCATGGATTCCAGTAGAGGCTTTGTAGATATTGTAAAGCTATCATCTGTATTAATAGTTTTACTTGTCACATGTATCAGTTCAACCAGTCGACATGTTGTATATGTAGCTTCTCTTTAGTAAATCTATCTACATATTAGTTCACTTTCTCATCGTAGGACCACTTATAAAGCATGTGTTCATATGGTACTTTTCAGCCTCACCTAGTGTTGGGAGTGTGACAAAAGTGGTATCAGAGCAGTTCGTACTAGGGAGTCTACAAAGTCGTGTCTAGTAGAGCCTTACTTATGAATGTGTTGCACGCCACATTTATAATTAGGGGGTTTCTTGGACATTTAGGAAATGTTAACTTCCTTCATAATCTAGATCGTGCAATAAAGCAAAGTTAAGAAGTCAATTTCCACTTTTACCTGATCATGTTATTCATATTATGCTTACTATCGTTAAGGTTAATGCTAGCTAAAATGTCAACAGACTAGATTGAGCTCATTTTATTCGACCATCCCACCCCACAAGGTATGTACAGGCTTTTATGCTATTTGCATCTAAAGTTGCATTTGTACCATTTGTATCACGTTGATTCAATTGAGAAAGATATAGTATGGTTATCCATATGCTTAAAAATGATGGGTTACCTAGTTACATATATGAGTTGTAGCATTTCCAAGCACAACTTTTTAAGAAGATGTAACCAACTCTTGAGTTCTATATTTCCTCCATATTTATAGGATCTATTCCTATAGAGGACACTTGTTCTTAATCTGTGATATCCATAAAATTTTTAGCGTTACACATGTTCTCAAAATTGATGATGTTGAACCAGTTTCTTTTAGTTGGAAGAAGGCAGTGGCACAATTTGATAGGTGGA